CTGGAATCCACCCCAAACTTGTAGTCAAACTTGGCAGTGTTGTTCACCTGGTGCTGGCTTTAGAGGCATGAAGTGTGCAAGAGTGAAGGGGTGATCAGTTCTTTCTCCAAGATTTCAGAGAGCTGCTGCTAGGGCCAGGCAGCATGCAGCAGGGGTTCTCCTGCCTAGAGAAGGCCTTGATAGGCCATTGTGTGAAGCTGTGAAGGTGAAGCCTGGTTGACAGTGGAGACCCCAAGAAGTTCGTGATGCCAGAGCTGTGAGGCATCTGCCAAGAAGACCTGCACACAGGGAGTGGTACCAGCACAAGAGGGAAATGTGTGTTGCACAGAGCAAAGCTAGAGAGGCTGAGCCATCTAAGCTCTTTGGAAGTAAAGTCCCAGGAGTTGAATGTGAAGCTACTGGATTTGGTGTTTGCCCTGCTGGTTTTTGGTCTTGTTTTGGTCCAGTATTTCCTTACTATCCCTCCATTCCTCCCTTTTGGAATGGTAATGTGTGTTCAGTTCCACTGTATGTTGGGAGTATATAATTTGTCTTTTGATTTTATAGAGGCTTACAGTTCAGATATTTACCTGAGTCTCAGAATAGACTTTGGACTGTGGACTTTTGAATAGTATTGAGACTGATAATAACTATGGGGACTTTTAAAATGGGACTAAATGCATTTTGCATTTTATATGGTCATGAGCCTATGGGGGCCAGGGGTTAGAATGTGGTGGTTTGAAGGAAAATGTCCCCCATAGACTCCAAGTATTTGGACATTTTGTCCCCAGATGATGGTGCCGTTTTGGGAGGTTTTAGAAGGTGTCGCTATCCTGGAAGAAACATGTCACTGAGGGTGGGCTTGTAGAGTTTTTAGGCCTTCCCAACTGTGCCTGCGTGATGATGTGAGAGCTTAGCTTCTGCTGCTCCTGCTCCAGCCACCTCCAGCCACCATGACTCCCTGCCATGACAGACTGTAATTCTTCTGGAACCATAAGCTCAAATAAACTCTTCCTTCTATAAATTGCTTGGGTAAGTGTTTCTATCACAGGAACAAAAAAATGACTAATACAGGTGTATTGCTGGCGTGTATGTAAATGTACTCGTGTGGTGCAATGCTTGAGGAGGTCAGAAGAGGGTGTCAGATCCCCAAAACTGGAGTTATAGACAGTTGTTAGCCATCACGTGGGTGCTGGGAACCAAATCTCTGGAAGAGCAGCCAGTGCTCTTAACTGCTAAGCCACCTCTCCAGCCCGAGTATTTTTTAAATATTTGTTTTATGTTGGGCTTCATGAAAGCACACGACAGGGACATGAATAATAGACACAGTTCCTGCCTCACACAGCTTAAGTTCTAATGAGGAAAATATAAAGGTAAAGAAATCATTGTCATTCAGAGGGTTTGAAGACAAAGTACCTAGCAGACTGGAAAGACTCTCCAGACAGATGATATTTAAGTCAAATCTTAAAGGTTAACTAGGAATTGCCCAAAACAATGAGGAGAGAAGGCAGGAGTGAAGAGGCTAGGACAAAGAGAATAGCATGAGCTAGCTATAGTGGCACATGGCTATAATCCCAGTACTTGGGTGTCTAGGGCAGGAGGATTACAAGTTCAAGGCCAACCTGGGCATCATAGCAAGTTCAAGGACAATCCATACAGCTTAGTGAGACTCTGACTCAAAATGAAAATGTAAAAGTGCTAGGGATATAAGCCAGTTGTACAGAACTTGCTCAGCATATGCAAGGCCCTGGGTTCAATGCCAAGTACTGAAAAATTAAAAAAAAAAAATCAGGTAGGGTGGTGCATATCTGTCATCTCAGCAATTAAGAGACTGAAGGAGGAGGATTGCTGTGAGTTGAGGTTAGCCTGGGCTACATAAATAGTGAGTTGCAGCTGGCCTGGGTTACAGAGAAAGGCTAGAAAACAATAGAATAGCATAAGCAAAGGTATTAGGAGAAAAAAAGGCCCATATGGAGATCATAAGAACAGTTTGACTAGAACATAGAGTATGTAGCTGGGACTGCAAGTATATGCTGCCTTATAAAGCTTTCTTAACATTTTGGATTTGATCTTGAGGGTGATGGGCCCAGGGGGTGAAAAGCCAGGCAGTGACTCAGCAGTTCTATGTTACAGCAATTCTCAAACTTGACCTGGCATTCCTTCCATTCACCTTGCTTAAATACGAATTATGATCAGTGACTCTAGAAAAGGCCTCAGGTTCTGCATTCTAACAAGTTCCCTGGTAAGACTGATGCTGGGCTCCTCAGTCCACACCTGGAGGAGTAGGCTTTAGATGGTGCTTTCTCTCCCATCCATCTTCCCCAAATGTGTCCACTCACATCCGCAGGCATGAACCTTTATTCTTTCTGTGTAGTCTGGTCTGAGGCTAATGTGACTCTTCGCTTTTACTTAGCATCCATATTTTATAAGCTGTTTATTAAATTCTTTTCATATCCAGTAAAGTACCAGGTAAGGGATGAGGACTAGAGGAAGACAAAAATATATTTCCCTGCCTAAGAATGTTTGGTGTCATCTAACAAGGGGCAGCTTTCCTGGGCTGCCCTCAGCCAGACCTGTCATAAACATGCTAAATGAGGCCTGTCTCAGCCATGCTCCCTGGGGCCCAACCGCTTCTGCAGCCCTTTCCAGAGATGAGCCTGTTTATCCCTAACTGTTGTCTCTGACCTCTAAATCAATTCCCTGTCTCACTCAAAACCTCAGTCCTCCTTTACCCTTCTCCCAATTCCAGGCTAGGTCAATTTGTAAAACTGGAGGCAGTGAACTGTAGCAGTGTTATGGGCACAGGTTCTAAAATCAAACAGCCTGAGTTCACAGTCCAACTCCACGCACTAGCTTGGGCAAGTGACTTCACTTCTTTAAGCTTCAGTTTTCTCGTCTATAAATTGGGGAGAATAACTTGGCTGGTATCATAGGACTAGAAAGATCAAATGTGACCATGCACATACTATTTTTGTTTTATTTTGCTTTGTTTTTGAGATTAGCCTCAAACTCATGATCCTCCTGCTCCTTGGCCTCCCAAGTGCTGGGATTATCAGCATGTACCACCACACCTGGCTTGCATACAGTCTTAAACACATACTTTAAGACATCTGAACATTGAACAATTATTATTTATTGGTTTTATAAGTAGAAAAGGCTGTGTGTACTAAAGTCCCTGAAAACCCCATTTAAGTAAAATTTACTGACATCCCTTACATAACCACAGCACATCTTGTTTATATTGTCTGATGATGGGCAGGCAGCACAGAAAAGCCTGCTGGATGAGGCAGTCATCAGGGAGCTCTTAGAGAGCAGGTTTCAGCCTACTAGAACTGAGGCCCAGTGTTGGAGGGAGACGCTTCCCCTCCCACCTCAACCCCATCCCCTCTGTGTCCCCCTCTGCCCAGGGTCACCCATGCTGCCCCTCCTTCCTGCTGCAGTGAGAGGCAGCCTCAATCATTCATCTTAATGTCTCTATTAAGCAGGGTTATGACCAGGATGAGACAAGAAACAAGGTCTTTTAGTGTAAAAACACGGCTCCTAGGCTCAGTCCCAAGGGACTGCTCCTTAGCTTGCTGCTCACTACAGTGCTTCTGCTACAGGAGGGGACCGAAGGTCCAGATTGGCAGGATGATTCTGCATGTTCAGAACCACACCTGGCCTCTGTGACGCTAGCTGTTGACTCAGAGGCCAGTGCTGACTGATGCTTACCTGTCTCCCCTACATGGTGAGGTCTGTAGGTGGCAGCAGGGCCAGCTCTCTTACCTGGAGAGATGAACTGAGACTCCTGGAGAACCAGAATCAAAAGACAACTGCCAGATATGATGGCACACTTATGCTTTAAAACAGCACTCACGATGTAGGGACAGGCAGATCTCTGTGAGGTCTAGGCCAGTCTAGAGTTCTGGGCCGGCCAAGGCTACATAGTGAGACTCTGTCTGAAAAATAAATAAATAAATAAATAAATAAATAAATAAATAAAAATAAATAAATAAATAAATAAATTTTTAATGGGAAAAAAAGGCATAACTCAGAATATACTTGGAAAGTGTCAGAGGGAGCCATGCACATAGGCTTGTCCTTCAGAGGCACAGAACAGGGGCCAAGATAACTGCTCCTAAATGTCAATGATGTCATCATTAGAACATACACTGTTTAACTGGTATGGTATGGGAGGATGAAGTGGTAGAACACAGAGGTACAGGTATTAAAGGTCATTCCACACAGTTTGCTGATCAATGCTGCTCATCTTTAAATCATTTTTTTCCCCACTGTGCTACTGCCATCTTACTGGTCCTGATTTCCAACTCTGTCTGAAGAGTTATCTTAGTAGCCAGGTACAGTGGTCCTATGCCCGTAATTTTAGCACTGGGAAGGAAGGTAAGGCAGGTAGATCATGAGTTCTAGTCCAGTTGGGCCAAATAGTATCTCAAAACCAAACCAAACTATTATCCCCATCAAAACGTCTTCCACACTGGCTTCCCTGAGGTGGGCTAGCATGGAGGAATGCCCAACATATGGAACCAGGAAAACTGAGTTCATGTCCTGGCTATACCTCTTTGGGACAAGTCAAGGTTTCTTCCTGACCCTCAGTTTCCTCAGATCTTAAGGGGTGGACAAAACTGCATGTGTCAGCTAAGTGTAAGACCTTAAACACTGGAAGGAAAGAACTGGGAATCTTAGTCCCACTTCAAGTATGAGAAGGAAGCCTGTAGACCCAGAATGCACTAGGCATTCCCTGCTCTCCCTGCAGGCTGTGGGTGGAGGGGCCTTAACTAAGGAGGGCTGCGAGAGCAGAGACACGGAGAGAACTCCAGAGCAGCTGAGGGCTGAGAACTCAGAGTGAGTTAACACTGGTCCCAAGGGCTGCATGAGCAAGGCAAGCTTTTACACAGATATCCAGGGAACAAGAAATACCAGCAAGGAAGTTGTCCCATTAATAAATAAGAAGGTAGGAAATTAATGATGGTCTGAAAACGGCTGAGCTACTGAACTTGTTCTTTAAATCTGTCTTTAACAAGAAAACTGAAGAAAAGAGATTTGGCCAATTAGGAGGTAATGAAGATATTGCAGAAATAGTACTGACAAAAACACACTCAGGGGGCTGAATGAGCATCCAATGGCCTTGACCCCACAACCAAGACAGAAGAAGGGTACCAATGGAAGGAGCGCCTGTTTCCAGGTAATGTGAATCATTGGATCACCGGGTCCTGATAGGGAAGAAACAAGGGTGGGGAAAGTTCAATTGGGGCCTAACTGATGATTTTCTTTTTTTGCATTTGTTTGTTTATTTATTTAGTGTGTGTGTGTGTGTGTGTGTGTGTGTGTGTGTGTGAGTTAGAGGATAACCTGCAGGAGTCAGTTCTCTCCTTCTCCCACATGTGTCCTGAGGATTGAACTCAAGTTGTTAGGCTTGGTGGCAAGCACCTTTACCTGCTGAACCATCTCACTGGCCCCTAGCTGATTTTACAGAGCCTTTTGTGCACCATGCAGGGCGTTCTGCCTCCAGTGCCGCCTCTGGTGATGACTGGGGATGAAAGTGAGGAATCGGAGGGTAAAAATCCTAGAATGAGAATAGACAAAAGTGACAGAAGGGGCCCAAGAGGAAGGATACCTGAGGGAGGGCAGACGACAGAAGCCCTGTTCAGAGCTACAGAAATTTAGGCCTCTGACATATTTGGTGTGGTCCCTTCTAGGGAGTTTATGCCTAAGGAAAAAAAATAAGAAAAGAAAAAGAGAAGAACAGGATTAAGAAAGAGAAAGAAGGTAAGAAGAGGGACCATAGAAGGAGAAGGAGAGGACAGAAAAGAAGGACAATGAAAAACAAAGCGAATGAGACGATGTTTGGGTAGGGCATGGAACATGAGCAGGAATGGGGTGTTGGAGGGAGACTGCCACAGTGCAGGGTGCCAGGAAATCCACACTGCTTGCAACCCTGGTCTAGCTTTGGCACACCCCTGAGTCCCAGGAGACCTGCCAGGGAGCAGAGAGAAGCCTTGGAAAGGTCTTGAGGAAGAACACAAGAGGAGTGAGAATGTAGAGTGAATCAGCCTAGCTCTGCACCTGCTTCCACACAAGTGAACTTGACCTTCTGGCTAGGAAGAAGCTCTGTACTCTATTAACCTTCTCTTACTTTCCCGGGCCAGAGCTCACAATCACCTGTAGCCCCTGGGTGCTGTCTTTGGCCTAGCCCACTGTTCAGGAAAGCCACAGCCTTGCTGGCCCAGGATGCTTAAACACGTCAGTTCCAGGGGCTGTTCCCAAATTAGGGTTCCAGGATTCAATCTGAGCTATAAAAACACTGACACTGGGGGGTGGGGGTGGGGGCTGAAGTACAGAAGAAGGAAAGGGCAGCCTGTGATGAATAGGGGCATCCAGAGCCTTATTAGAGGGTGTATAGAGAGGAGGGCCACTGCAAGGACCAGCCCTGAGCCTGATTTATCATCTTCAGAGCTGATCTGAGCGAGAGGGGTTAAGTAGCTAGTTAATGAAATCCACAGATGCTGCTAAGTGGGAGAGAGCTGGGAGCACCATGGGTTGGGGGTCTGGCACCAGACAGGGGGCAGGTGGCAGGTGGAACACTGAAGAAGGAGCATCATTTGGACAAGAGATCCCATACTCCAGCTGAGTGGAAATCCTGTCTTAGTCTCTGGAAGCCAGTTTTAGCAAGTCAGGGAGAGAGTGGGTAGACAGCAAGGTACAGACAGATCCCCAGGTCAAACTTCTAAGCTCCATACCCCAATCTCCATGGGCTTTCTCAAATCTGGGCAGCCCCTGAACCTCAAAGACAAGGAGAAAATGAGACCAGGCCACTGTGCCTCTTCTCCCAGACTGAGTGGCCAAACAAGTAACTACAGTTCTGTGATAAGTGCTGTTGAGCAACACAAAGGAGGGAGCAATTAATTCTGACAGGGAAGGGCAGGGAGGTTAGCATGCCATTAAAGCAAGGCTTGAAAAATAAGGATTTTACCAGGCAGAAAAGGGAAAGTGGGGACTCTGGGCAGAAGGAGAAACATATGCCAAGGCCGGGAAAGGTTCAAGGGAGGTACAGGGAGCGGGAGCCAACCTGGTAGGGGTGTCTGCTTCAGGGAGGCAGTGGGCAAGTGGAAACTAGGCAAAAGCATTGCCAGAGACCAACCAGAGCAGCAGGTGAAAGTTCTACACTGAAGGAACAAGGTGGCAGAGGGAGGACTCAAATCCTCACCAAGAGGCGCCTCTGCATGCCGACCACATCTCTTACCTCCGGCAGTGGCCCCGAGCTTGAGAAGGTAGCCACGAGAATGAAAGCCAGTCATCCCTCTACGGTGTTTGATACTGCATCTGGCACACAGTAGATGCTTCTAAGATGCAAGTTATTGTAGTTGTTGATCTTCCAAGGCTGACCTAAAAATTATAGACTGGGACAGGCAAGATGGCTCTATGATAAAGGCACTGTCACGCAAGCCTGACAACCTGACAACCAAGAGACCACAGTGAAGGAGAGAACCAACTTCTGAAAGTTGTCTCCTGACCTTCACAAGCACTCAATGGCACATGTGTACTGGCACATTCTCTCTCTCTCTCTCTCTCTCTCTCTCTCTCATAATAGTAATAGTGATAATAATAATAAATTAAATTTTAATTTAAAAAAAATCCTAGGCCAAGGGTCTGACTGTACAGTTCCACGTGTACCCAAGGAATACTGAGGGACCATGTGGGCAGGTGGTTACTTGATAAGTGGAAACTTGAGCTCGTGAAATAACCAATCACTCTAACGATAAGATGGGACATGGTGCAGCTGAGACATCAGGCACCAGAGACCTCTGAAAAGAGGAAACTGACACGCTAGCTTATATCCAAGGATCAGCCTGTTCATGCCTCTGCCAATGGGGGCAGCTCTTGAAAGCAGAGGAGAGCAGTTTGCATCTTAGGGCCTAAAACCACTTTAGCCTTCCTTGAGGCCTCAGGGCTATTCTGGGCAGACAAATACATTCTGTATTCCAAATCTGAGCAGTAATTCTCCTTATAGGAAAATTTTCCCCAAGGGAACTTGTAAGGGTAAAGGGGCCAGACATGCTTCTTTTAGGTCTCTATCAGCTAGCTATTTAGTGAATGTTTGTTGAGTGAAGGACTGAATGAGCAGAACCTGATGTTCCTCTGCATGGCACAGCATGCCACAGCCAGGAATGTCCCTCCCACTCCCTGTCCATATACACCTCTCTCCATTCCAGTTTACAGAAGCTTGAAGTTCATTGAATTTTTCCACCAAGAAAATGGGTAATAAAGTGGCTATTTGAGCTAGGCAGGCCTGGAATTCAGGCTTTGTTCCATCATTTGCCAACTCTATGCTCCTCAGGATGTTACCTAACCTCCCCAAACCTTACTTTCTCCTTCTGAAAAATGGGTATGGTAATAATTCCTACTGAATAACTCATGTGGTTTAAATAACACATAAAGTTCTTAGTGTAATGCCTGGTACACAGAAAGTAACTGTTATGCAGACTGAACAGGATTTAATAAAATTAAAACCAAAAGCATATTAATTCTCTCCTCAACTTTGCTGTTTCTTCAAACTTGTAGTCTCCCTGACCCAACATGATTTTTAAAAATATTTTATTTTTATTTTATGTGTGCGAGTGTTTCGTCTGCATGTATGTAAGTGCACCATGTGTGTGTAATGCCCACAGAGGCCAGAAGAGGGCATTGGATCTTGTTAGCCTCCATGGGTGCTAGGATCCAAACCCAGGTCCTTTGCAAGAGCTCTTAACCACTGAGCCATCTCTCCAGCACTGTCCGTGCTCCCACGATTTTTAAGGCAGGTTCTTTTTTTTTTTTTTTTTTTTTTTTTGGGTCTTTTTGAAGCAGGTCTCCCTGTGGCCCCAGCTGTCCTGGAACTTACTATGCAGACCAGGCTAGCCTTGAACTCACAGAGATCCACCTGTTTTGTGTGTGTGTGTGTGTGTGTGTGTGTGTGGAGTTCAGAGAACACCTTGCAGGAATTGGTTCTCTCCTTCTACCATGCAGGTCCTGAGAATTGAATTCAGGGCACCAGGTTTGGTGGCAGGCACCTTTACCACTGAGTCATCTCATCTTGCTCACCTTTAAGGCAGGTTCTTTAGGGTTTTTCTTCAATTTAAGTTCTTGAACCTACCAGGTCATAATGGTGGACAGGCCCAATAACCATCCGTCTTGAGGTAGGAGAAAGCAGGTGCATACAGGACTGGGGAAAAGCAGCTGCAGAGCAGGTGCCTCCATGTCATCTGCCTCTGTGGCACCAGTGCCTCTCCTCTGCTCACACAGGTTGTGTGAAGAAATTCCTCATGACCAGGAGAGAAGATTAAAGCCCTATAGGTGGGCTGACTCAGTATAGTACAGGTTGAAAGAGGATAATGACTGGGCTGAAAGACAGCAGTGAGGGAGAATCCTTCCAATAAGCGGAGCACTGAGAGTTCACTTTATGGGGCTAGAGTATATATGGACTCATGGGCAGTGGTTGATGACTGAGCTAACTGTCCAGGGGTCTAAAGGAAAGTAAATTAAGAAGGCTACAAGTCTGGGTACTGACAGGTGAGTGGACAAATGAACATGGGCACAACATATGAAGGTCTTTGTATACCATGTTAATACTCATTAGAGAGCATCCAGTATGGAAGAGGCACTGGAACATCAGGCAGACAAAATGACTCAGCCAGGTGACATCAATCAATTCTGTCATTGGCTATCCCCATGCTGGCACAATGAATACATAGATGAAGTAAATATAATGGTAGAGATGGATGGATGGGTGACTGGATAGATCGATAGACAAAAATAAGTTATATAGGGACCCAACTGCACAGGTTCCACTTACCAGGGTTAATTCTGCTTCTGCAAAATGTCCAGTCTACCAGTAACACAGACCAGTGCTGGACCCCCAATGTGACACCATGCTCTAGGGAAGTAATTGATTATTTGGGACTTTATCCATTCTGGAAGGAATAGAAATTTATACTTACAGGAATAGATATACTCTGGTTATGGGTTTGTAGTTCCTTTTTACAAGGCTTTAGCCAGCACCATTAATTGAAGGCTTACACAGATTATTTACTCTACCAACATATTATTAAATCCATCATGTCAGACCAAGGGTCCAGCTCTACAGCAAAGGAGATGCAAGAGGGAGCCCAGCACATGAGACCCATTGATTATGTCATACACTCTAGC